TAAATTAAATAATAACATTAATATTGCTTAAAAGGACACACAATCCAAAAAAAAATTTTCTCCAAATATATTAAAATACAGATCTACTAAAAGAAATTTTTTCAAAATCCAATCGAAAAATAATATTTACTAGGTATTTTAAAGAGATATTGGGATATCTAGAATAACCACGTGACATCATTGGGCAGGATTCGGCATAATCGCCTATGTTACGGGTGTAAAAGTTGCTCGATTTACACAATGTCTTACCAACCTAATCATTTTATCTTTGATGTTTGATTTATGCAGAAAAATGTGATTTTAGAGCTGTAGACGATAGAATCATCAGAATTTTTTTTAATATTAAAAATACCAAGAGATATTTTCGTTACGTACCTACATAATATTGTAGTTACAACGGCGCAGTGAGTCGATTTATTTTGATACACGATTTAAATATATCAAAAAAACTAAACACTTTAGAAAAATGTTGGTTCCACCTACGATTCCAGTAGGTACATAAAAACACACCACATATGTCAGCAAAAATTATAAAATATACTTTAAAGGTAGGTAGGTAAATGATTGTGTGAAACGAGCAACATTTACATGTATAAAATAGGCAATACCGCAAGCCCAATGCCATCACGAGCCATTTATCAGTTCCTCATAAGTCATAACTCATTGAATAATGTGAGTAGAAATGCCGTTAAAAACCTATACGTCTATACTATTAGCCTTAGAATTGTACATTCTTTCAAATCAAAAAAAAAAAAATGTTTTGTGTTTTGTGCTCCTTTAAGAATTAATACAATTATAAATTATTACACATCGCATGGTAAATATTTCAGGGGTACTGAACCACGAAGACAACTGCCCGAAAAAGGCAAATCCCGATCAAAGGGACACGGACGGCGACGGTCTTGGTGACGTTTGTGACAACTGTCCGAGTATGCACAACCCGACACAAACAGATTCCGATAAAGACCTGATAGGTGATGCTTGCGACAGCGACATCGACAGGGACAGGTATACGTCATAAATAAAATGAATCTAGAAAAAAAAGCCCTGAAAAAATCCCCGGAAAAAAAGCCTCGTCATAGAAAAAAAAAACCCCATATCAATAAACACTAAACATTAAATGGTTATGCTCTAATTATTGATATTATTTATTATTCATTTTTACATCAAAATTTAAAACAAGAATCCACGTAAGTAGTTAATACTTAATTCTGTAATAAAAAAATCTAAAAAAATGTATAAACATTAAACACAGTTTTTTTTATAGTTATTTTTAATTCAAATTTGGTCTTAACTAGATATTTAAATGAAGAATAAAGATTTTAGTTTTGTGTTGTAATTTAAAAATATTAGTCGTGGGTACTCAAAACTTCTAAAGTATATTATTATATACCTACAAATATTTCAATATACAAATAATATAATATAAAATATTTATAATTTTTTAATTAGGTATATTTTTTAAATTTACCTACCTTTTTTAATTTCATATTTAAATCTAGACTTATTTTGTATAATTTTAATATTATTTAATGGTAAGTACATTAAAGTATTAAACATTGTTTTTAATTAGGTAATCATTTAATATATTTATGTAATTTTATACCTATAATAAAATTGTTAAAACTTTTGAAAACCATATGAAATATAAATAAAAATATAGAATACCTACCTTAGTTAAAAATCGAAAAATCGAGAAAAAAAATTACTTCCAGTATATTGCGTTCAAAAATAACTAGTTATATCTATGGACTACGATATACTTAGTATAACCACATTTAAATATTTTCTCATATTCTCTGAATATAATATTAAGTCACACAATAAAATAAATAAGCATTAATTCTTATAAAATGATACCTATATTAATTAAATTAAATTTATCTATATAATTAACGATTATTTTTTTTCTCAGGCTTTTTTCCCCGATAATACCAAGTAAAATATTTAAATGTACCTTCTATAATAATATTAAATAATAATATAATGTAATATGATGAACCTGTTCAAAATACACATAACCCTTGGTACCTACCTATAGATTTTCTCAACCAATTATTGTGATTATGAAATATAATTTGTAATCAAAAAAATCTAATTTTTATCATAAGTATAGTACTGGCGTATTTTACCTGAAGCACTCTTGAATTTAATCTGAGACCTGAGAAAAATGTTTAGGGGTAACATATTATTTCTATTTTAGATTTTGAGGGAAGCAATGAATGTATTAATTGTACAATGTTCATTATTTTTTTTGTAGGTAGGTACCTACATTTATTTTTGTGTCATTCCTTTTGGAACAGTAAAAATGTTTCAATCTTCAACTTCAATATTTTTTCCCATTTAGAGAATGTATCTAGTTTGTGCTTTAGGAGTCTAAAGTAAAAAATTGCAAGTCCTTCACTTAATAATTGGGATCAAAATTAGGGAAAAACTAGAATTTGTATGCAAAATCAGTTTATTATTTTGTAGTAATTCTTACACAAAATTTTAAGGTACCTATATTAGCATTTGCATGTTCTATAGGTGCATAGAAGTTTTCAAAATTTTTAAATTGTTTTTAAATTATTTATAGACATTTAAAATTTTTAATTAGTTAATTTTTTTATGAATGTCAATAATTATTGTATTAGTTTTTTTTTTTTTTTAAACAGTGAGTAACCCATTATTTTAATTTATGATTCCAAAGCAAAATACTTTATTAATTTCCTAAAAATGTTAATGATTTATCAACAAATAATAATGAATAGTTTTTGATTTTTAAGCATCAACATTTTTGAACCTTAAAGTCACTGTGATTAAAATTACTAATTAGTAATTAGTATACTTCTATAATTATTTTTAATACAAAAATTGAAAAATTAACTGAAAAACTAGTATGTTACACGGTATGCAGTGTGATATGAGTATAATATTATTAATGTTACGAATGATAACTGTCACAAAAATGCCCACATGATACCAGTAATGAATTTATGATTATGATTCAAATTTTGGCGATAAATAGTAAAAAAAAAACAATTAAAGTATAACATTAATAATCAACACCATTTTTCACTACAGGGACGGCATTCAGGACAGCGTAGACAATTGTCCCAAAGTAGCAAATTCTAATCAGCTAGATACAGACGGTGACGGCAAGGGAGACGAGTGTGATCCTGACATTGACGGTGATGGCATTGGCAACACGCAAGATAACTGCATGCTTGTGTACAATCCGGACCAGGCCGACTTCGACGGTCAGTAAACGGTAACCATTATTGTCCTGTAAACATTCCATCATTAAAATCAAATAACCTTGCGGTTCGCGTTAACCGCATCCCCTTGTACAGGCAACGGCATCGGGGACATATGTCAAGATGACAACGACTACGATAAGGTGCCAAACCATTTGGACAACTGCCCCAATAACTCCAAAATATTCACCACGGACTTTAGAACATACCAGACAGTGGTGCTAGACCCAGAAGGCGATTCACAGATTGATCCAAACTGGGTGGTGTACAACAAGGGGGCGGAGTTTGTACAGACTATGAACAGCGACCCCGGTTTGGCAGTAGGTAAGTATCTGTACACCTCTGGTCTCGTGCAATTGTACTAGTAATAACAGTAGTCATATTATTTAATATTTAAAAAATAATATAATATTATAACATGGTTTATGATTTGACCAAAGTGGTATTGTTTGACACCGTTGAACGATTACTATGACTAATGTATACTGTGGTTTTTAGGTTACGACTCGTTCGGTGGCGTCGACTTTGAAGGTACATTCTTCGTGGACACCGACATTGATGACGACTACGTAGGCTTTGTGTTCAGTTACCAGGACAATCACAAGTTTTATACAGTGATGTGGAAAAAAGGCACGCAAACATACTGGCAAGCGACACCGTTCAGAGCTGTAGCGGAACCGGGAATACAGATCAAAGCAGTACATTCGGAAACCGGACCTGGACAAATGTTGAGAAACGCCCTGTGGAATACAGAGAGCACAGACAAACAGGCGAGAATATAAAAATACAATTTATAGAGAATAGATAAAAATAAACTCACATTGTTGTTTTACTTTCAAAACAGGTGAAACTATTGTGGAAAGATCCACGCAACATTGGTTGGAAAGGAAAAACTGCCTATAGATGGATACTATTGCATCGTCCAAAGATTGGTCTTATTAGATTAAGAATATTTGAGGGTCAAAATATGGTAACAGATTCCGGAAACGTGTTTGATTACACATTTAAAGGTGGTAGGTTAGGAGTATTTTGCTTCTCTCAAGAAATGATCATATGGTCAGATTTGGTTTATCGCTGTAATGGTAAGCAACACACTAAAACATTTTCAATAAACCAGCTATCACATTTATTTTGACATTATTTCAGATAACATACCAGAAGCTATTTATCGTGAATTACCACCTAAGTTACAACAAGAAGTACAATTGGACACTAGACGGGTTTCCAACTAACAAATATGTACTAATATTGTTTAAGATATGATAAAAACTTCCTTTAAATCTAATATAGATAGAATAAGTATGCATTTTTAATCAATTAATTTTTTAGATTTATTTTTAAAATACATACATTTTTCAATAAACCTAAGTTTATAAAAAAATTACTTATAGTACAAGTGGTTATAATATTTTATATTGTACAATGAAAATAATCAAAACATTAAGTACTTTTCATGTTTTTTTTTTTTACAAAAACCTAGAATAGTATTTGATTTTAAAAAAATGTATTTAATAATAAACATATTTAATAATCAAGACTTACAGAGTAAATATTTAAGATTACATTTTAAAAATTAATTCAATTATGAAACATAACAGAGTGAATAAACATTACATTTACTCAGAAAAAGTTGAAACTAATCAACATTTTTCATTGGTTTAAATATACAACAGAACATTATAATACTTAGAAACTAAATTTGCCACCCCTACCTTCTTAACATTGTTCAATAACTTATTCAACATTTTAAGGTATGTAGAAAGTTCAGTTGGTTCGTGGTCTTTTGAATAATAAAATGTGAGGTTCTGTAAAAAAAATGAAATAATTTTTCAATTATGTAAATACAATAAGGATCCAGTACAAAAAGGATGGGTAATCACTAAAGACCGGATTTATATGTTTTTACATATCGTTACTGGTCTATGCAGTATTATGAGAGTAAAAAATGTGGGCGATTCGTTAAATTTTGAATGTGTAGAAAAAAGTTTTTTTCCATGTTTGAGAATATTTTATGGGTTAGAGAATATTTAACCCATTTAGCATATTTTGGAATATTTCGTAAATAGTGAGAAAAATTTGTAGGTATTTATTTTTAATTTTAATATTACGGTACTTACAAGATTTTTTTTTGAACATTTACAATTTTTTTTTTTTATCATTTTGATAAAAAGAAAACACGTACTGTTATCAAGTATCATCTATTTATATCTACTGATAAGTTCAACGTATACGTTTATCAAATATTCAAATTTTGTTTTAACTTTTAATATTATACTGTAATATTTATATCATATTCCAATTTCCTACTCTTACCAAAGTGCAATAGTATTTCATTAGGTATAATACACAACTTTTAACAACTAATTAATACCTCACTATTAAAATAATGTTGGAAAAAAATTTTAAAAATGCATATTAAAGCATATAATGTTTTTTTTGCATATTTTTTTAAATTTTTGAGAGAATACAATGAGAATATTTGAAGGTTTTTTAGAGAATATTAGCATCATATTTTGGGTATTTTAAGAGAATATAAATCCGGTCTTTAGTAATCACTAATCAAATACCGATATACTTCAAAATATTATATTTAACGTATATCAATATAATGATGGTTTAATATTCAATTTAACTAATCTAAAGAATTTAAATTTAAATTTAGCCATCTAGATAGGTAAACATTAATTAAGTTAAAAAAAATTAACGAAAGTTCATATCTACCCCTTATACAAATCAAATATTATGTTGTGGTCCTTTTTTTAGACAATATTTTTCTGGGCGAAATAATAGACAGAAAATACATTTAAAATTTAACACGTTGGCTGCCATATGACGCTGGCTGTCATCTGTAATTCTCAAATTTTATACTTTACTACCACCAGCACCTATTAATCATTACTAACACACTACATGACAGCCGGGACCGTAAATAAATAATTTTATGTTATTTAATTTTCCATAGAGCTACAATAATGATCTAAAAAGATTGAAGTGGAGTAATGGAATCATAAAAATGTTATTGATATAATAAACATATAGTAATTTATTTTTTTTTTATTAGAGCCCAAACACGAATAAATGCAAGCCAATGCTACCTGACGAATTTGAAGACTTATCGAAATTATATACCGAATGCTCCTGAATGCGAACGGATGCATTCGTTTGTGTTCGGTTAGACCGTTTACATGGGTTCGTTCGATAGCTTTTGTTCGTATTCAGGCTCTAATGTAAACCCACCTTAAGAGAGCATTATCACAGAGCCAAAAAATTATTCTTGTTTAGAATAATATAAGATTTCCAGCAGTCTGGGACCTTTGGAAATAATATTTTACGGCAGCCAACTGCCTACACTGCCTAAAATTAATAATACACAACAACTCACCGGGTTCATGGATCATATAATGTACCCATCCTTTGCTCTGTTGAACTCCAATTGATCTCCATTCTTCTTCAGAAAGTAAATGTGTTTTTGGTATGCTTTTTGCCATCTCTTTAGGCAACACCACATGTCTAAAAATATGTTGTAGAATTAAAATAATATCAACATTTTAAATTTAAATTTGGTTAAAATAGGTATAACTTTTATACCTAACCTAAATTTACCTATTAATTTAAAAACTTTTATTGGTGGTTAAATATTTAAAAAAAATGTAACTTTTCTTCAAACAAATAGGTGTATAACTGAGTAATTGATAAATAAATTATAACAATTACATTTTTTTTAAATGTAGTTATTATAAGTACCTATATACATATTGGTAGACAGGTAATAATGTAATACCCTAGGGCCTAGGTATTGTACCCAGTAGTGATGACATACGGGAAAAAATAGATACCTATACTCTGTGCCACGAGAGAAGTAACTCGCTACGCGCATGCAGACTGACGGCAGAGACCGATCTGAGGCCCCGTTTCCCTTACTTTACCTACAACATTATACATACTAATAGTATTACTAAATAAAGTTGACGGTCATGATCGTGCAACATCGACATGTCAAATAAGTAGGGGATGCGCGGATTCGACTGCGATTTGGTCGGGATATGGTTACTTCTCTCGTGGCACGGAGTATAATATGTACTCTTATTTATTTTATAATAAAATATGGCTTATGGTCAAATATATGTAGATATATCACAGTGGTGTTTAAACTTTTTAGTTCATATCTTCCATAAAAAGAATATTTGCTCAACAACTTCCATGAAAGAAATAAGTACCTATTTATCTTTCTTTAATTATTTTTAAAAACAAATAAATAGAAACTTATTTTATTTGTGTGTTAAAAAAAGATTAAAATTATGAACAGTATGATTGTTTTCCACTTATTAAAATTTGAAAATTATAGACAAACCATCAAACGCACAAGTGGTCTAAATAATATATATTTAATATTATAATATATCTACATATATATTGTGTACCTATATCTTTTTACTTTTGGAATTGCTGCTATATAACATTTATCCCCGCATTTACCAAATAGCTCATTTCTAGTAAATTGTATTAGGTAGGTAAATAAAATATTCTCAAAAGACTATTTAATACCTACCAGCAGATAAAATTTAGATAGGTATAAGAAAAATTACATTTTAATTAGGCAACTGGATAAATATAAGCAGATTACCTATTTATAATGATTATACTCTCTGTCTACCTATAAACAAATCATGTACTAACTGAGTTATAGTTTACAAGTACTTTGTTTACAGGAAATTTCCAAGTCAGGAGCCTTCAACCCGACATGTCTTTTAATGAAACCCATGAACAGATATTAAGCATAGCATGTTATAGGTATGATACATCATATCATGTTAATATTATTGATAACCCTTTTTTTTACTTATTATTATATAATTTTACTGATATACCTACGATCCGTGAGATATTTAAAAAATAATGAGTGGCTTATAACTTAAAGAGGTTTAAGACCCCTGCTCTAAGTAGTTGTAAAAAAAAAAAAATTTAGAAAGTATAGGTACCTACATGAACAAATAAAACAACCTAAGTGCAAAACTATATAGTCAACCAGTCTTTTATTTAACACACTATCAGTATGAACGTCAATTACTATAAACACATACCTAGGTGTCATTTTGTAAAAAATAGGTTCTGTGAGACATGGCAATACCTATTTATACTTATCTTACTAAAATGTATAAATTGTTATACCTCCAGGAACAAGTACAAGAAAATAAATACAGTGATTTTAAAAATAAAATAAATTGTCTCGTTCCGTAGGAACCATATTGGGAAAATGCTTACCATTCGAGTACACAATAATACTAGCATCAGCTAGGTATATTCTACAAACCTGTATTCGTACTTGTCGTCGTAATATTTGTCCGAATAGTAGATCTGTTTGTCAGACATTGTCGCGGACTCTGTGTACGGCTATTATCGGCTCGACGTGCTCAGTGTTGTGCTCACAAATCAGAAACCGTGATGGATCGTCAAGAAACAGCGAGTGCAACGCTATACAGTGCGCCAGCAACAGATTTATTGTTCAGCACGTCTTACAGATGACAACGGGTAGGTGCACGGATATAATAAATCGTGCCGGGTTAACTTTTTTTTTCTTCACAAACGTCTTCACCACCGGACCAACAGATGTTCTCATCCACCACCGGATCACAACTACTACAGCACTAAATCGCAGAAAACGGGTGCAACACACGATGACAATGCACACGGGCATACGGCGAACAATATAATATTATTATTATTATCGTAGAGCGTAGGCACCACCGGTCGACGAGGTGTATTATTATTACGGAAACGGATCGCTCAGGGCTCGGATGCACAATAGGACCAATAGGTAGCACACGAAATTACGAACGAACAACAACAGACGTCGGTTTTGGCGGTTGGTTTTTGGAAGGCGGAAACGGGACGCGGGGTCACACTGCTGGATGTTGGCTACGGCAACGATAGGACGACTCGTCATAAACGCTGCCAACTTCATGCACATCCCGATTTCGTTTGAAAACTTCAGAGCGCGCGGAATATTTAATTTATTTACCCGCGATGGCATTTTATAACAGATCTGGTCTTATATCATTTTTATACTGTTTGATTATAGTATGGAGTATGGACTATTTATGAGAAACTTGTATGTATTAAACTTTCAGTCTTTAGTTATAAAATTATTTTTTTTGTTTTACACAAATCTTTTGAAAAGTACTGGAAATTTTTAATTTTTACTTCTCAAAAGTAGACCCAACTAGATCCAAATATTCAAATTGATATCATAAAATTTTAAACTAACTCTAAAGAGCAGGACATAATTACCAAAACTATATTATATAAGGCCTTTCCTGTGCCACTATCGTTGTGTTCGCCTTTCTTCCCCCTATTTGGGTCCAGTACTCCAGTGCCACTTGTCCACGTCAACGAATTCTTTCACTGCGTTCCATTATCAATGTTAATAATAAAGTGTATTTGTCATTTCCTGATAGATCACATTATTAAAAAAAAAAAAAGTGGATAGTAGAAATGCAGCTTTATTTAAAAAAAAGGACATTTAATTTATTAGTAATCACTAGAATATAGATATTGTAGGTAATAATTGGATAATAAATAAAGAAAGAACAATCGCGTGTTGAATGAAATTACTGATCATTAAAATTGATCAAACGACCCATATTAATTATTATTTCTTATTTTTTTATTATTACTACGGTATCATATTTAACTAAAAAGCATAATATATCTACATGACTACCCACATTAATATTATTTCACTGTAAATAAACTGTAGCGTCTGAATGCCAAATTATATGTATAACCTGGTACTATTTACAAACTAAACATGATAATATTTATGGTTAAATATATAGTTAATTAATAATAAATAATCATGATGATAGTTTTAGCCACATAACTATAATAAAGACTTGCAGTCCCTCGGACAACATTTTATGTGTTCAAAAGCCATTGTTTATAATATTATAATATACCTTATTATGGCTTATACACGGAATTCAGTGCCACTAAATAAGTAAACACACCATTGAAAAAACCAATAAATTTCTTACTGCAGTGCATCTTTGGCATGCCATCAATTATTTAAAATAATATTTTTAACTCCAAGTATATACTTAAATTATTGTTGTCCAGGTGGAGTAGAGACTACTTCTATATCCGTCATTATCATTTCTCATAGAGTATTAAAAGCAGATTGTTGTGTGTTGAAGACTAGACTGAAACAAAGTGCATGATAATATAATGTAAGTTTTTATTACTTGGTACAAAAATAATAAAATAATTTTAATATATATAAAGTAAACAATATAATTCATAATTAATAATTATCAGTCATAAACTTTAAACTTATAAACATAAGTTTACTCAGTACCTACAATAAATAATTGTAAAACAGTAAAATATATATGAATGTATATAATTAAGACGTATATTTAAATACTTATATTAATAAAATACCCATATATTATTGTAAATTGTGAACTCATGGTCCCCCAAATCAACCTGTTCAGTGGGGCCCATTATCTTTTTGAAGAAATATACAACAATACAAATAATACAATACAATACAATATTACAATAATAGAATCTAGGAAAAAAATCCCTTTACCAACAACTACTGAACATTCAATGATTATGCTCTAATTATTGATATTATTTATTATTAAAAAAAGGTTCCACGTAGGTAAGTAGTTAATTCTGAAAACAAAAATCTAAAAAATATATAAACACAGTTTTTTTCATACTTTTTCATAGTTCAAATTTGGTCTAAATTAAATAATATTTAAATGAAAAATAACGATTTTAGTTTTGTGTTGTAGTAAAATATTATTCGTGGGTACTCGAAACTTTAAAGAATATTATTATAAGAATATTACAGTATACAAATAATATTATTTCAACTTACCGGTTACCTTATTACAAGTTACAACCGTATTACAAGTTACAACTTACTAGAAGTCAATTCAGTGCCGGGAATTTTATCTAGATAAGATTGTTTGAAATAAATTATCTTTTAAGGTATCTAGATAATTATGTTACGATTTATCCAATGTTTAGTTTAGATAAAAAATGGGCTTATCTAGATAAATATTATAGTGCCCCTACATAATTATAAAACCAATATTACTAAAATTCTAATATAATAAAAATTATTTATAAAATTAGAAGAATATATTTCTTGTTATTATTTCCAACGAAGGTATTACGATAATACGAACACCTGCGTGCGGGCTTGCACTATACCTACATCGTTCTCTACTAGCCATAATGAGTATATTAAAATTAATTATTTATAGGTTTATTTCCAAATCCATTTTAAAAATAAATTAAAATTAACTTCGTACTTTCGTAGAACTGTATTTCAAAGGCTCTATCCGTTGTATTTTTAGATTCTAATGCGGAGCGATGAATGTATTGATTTTACAATGATGTGTGTTTTTTCATTATTTTTATTTTTGTGTTTGTCATCAGTCATCACCGTCCGGGGCAGTATAACTTGTTCGGTGGGAAAGTGAATCTAGTTGGTGCTTTCGAGAGGTCAAAATTTAAAATTCTCAATAGTTTTCAAAAACGCAGGGAAAAACAAAACAAAAATTAAGGAAAAAAGGTAATTTTTACGCATCGGTTTTAGACAAAATCGATTTTGGTTTTTGGTTTAACTCTAAAAAAGTGACCATAGATACATGCACATTACACTGAATGTTTATATTAGCATTTTCTGTACACGATAAAATATTTTGACTTGTCTTGAGCTGTTTACGGACATATTCAGTTTCCAATTCTTTTTTTTAAATTCTTTTTTTCAATAAATATCAACAAAATTTATTCATTGGTCAAAACGCTTGAAAATTGAATACAAGGATCCCGATATATTGTTACAATGACAGATGAAAAACATTAAAATTAGTCACAATTTTTTTTATGAAAATTTTAAGTTCGATTATTGAGAAGATTTATCAAATTTAAAATTTAAAAATGATTTTGTAGTTAAAAGTTTATAAAATTTTCAACTTTTGTTGGTAGGGATTGAAAATTTAAAACAAGGTTCAAGTAAATAGGTTATTCTGTAACCAAAAAAACTCAAAAATATAAAATCACAGTTTTTTTTTATAGTTATTTTATGTTCAAATTTGGACGAAATTACATGTTAAATAACCAAGAATAACGATTTTAGTTATTTTGTTGTAATTTTATAATATTATTCGTGGGTAATTGAAACTTCTAAAGTATACTATATAGGTATTATATTATTATTACGTAGGTAGGTAGGTAAGTTTATATCACCAGAATATTATAATTATGGCAGTATCGCCGACCGCTCAGCGCACCTCCAACCAACCGACCCACACCATACACATAAATCTAATACGCTATCAGTAAAATTATTTGTATGCACTAATTTTGTGTGTTTATCATCGCCGGTGGGAGGGCAGGGCAGAAGGGGCATCTGCCCAGAGCCCCTCGCCTTGTATGGTATTTGATAACTTGTAAGCCCATAATTTTGTTTTTCAAGTTAAAAATACAAGTCTCGGCTGGCCGTCTGTAGTTGGGGCTTGCGAGTTTTTCATATAATAAACGAGTGAGAGTAAAAATAAATTATAATGCCGACGTGCAACGGCGACTTCCAAAATAATCCGCTGGAAACAATTTAATTGGTTATATGCACATCGATCCATTAAACTGTGGATTGCGTGTTTTTCTTATCCTGGTTAAATAGTTTATGTCATTAGAGTATTAGAGACGAATATACGATTAGGCGGTATTGAGTATAGAAAATAGACGTACGATAGTGAATCAATTCTCGAGATGCACGTCCGCTGCGATTATATATGTATTTATCAAATATCATTATTTGTTGGAAATCGCTCACTACTTCGCAACAAATAATATTTCTAAATAATTATTATCGTCGGTATCTGTGTTTCATTTGACGACTGGAATTCGCCACTACGCCACGTGTATCAATTACTGTAGTAGGTAAACTGTATACCAATTACCACCTGGGCACCCAGCAACTGTATTTACCTATATTGGTAAGTTTCGAATATTTTTTTATTTTTTTATTAAGTACTAGCTGGACACGGCAATGCGTCGCTATTAATATGTTTGTGTGATTATGCGAGCAGCATATTTCTGGGGTAGATCACCCAATACCCATGAAAAAAATCTGCCCCGGGCCCCGCAAAACCTCCCGCCGAGCACCGACACTGGTATTAATTATTATATTTTATTATTCATGAGTAGTGCATCGGTCGCAAACTCGTGTGGTTGAATGTCAGATCAATTATTGCTGGCGCTAATCTCCGAAGTTTTTTATTTTTATATATGTGCTAATCACCAAGTTCTTTTTATTATTATAATATTTGATATATTCGCTCGCCTGTCGCCGCGGTGTTTTATACTATTATCTATGTTCTGTATATTTTTTGTGTGCGCCTGTCGCAATTGTGTTTTATATTATTATTATCTGTCACAGCTTGTATAACCACTGTCATTTTTGTAGAATTATTATTGAACAATATATTGTTGTGATAGCCAATAGCCGTAATATTATTGTAATAATTAGGATCTGGGCTGATTTTTAATATGGCTTTTACTTCGGCAAAATCACCGACTAAAGTATGGGGTGAGGTAGGCCGGTCAGAGATGTAGAGATTGAAGAGTAGGGGAGTAATTACTAATTACTGCGCTTATTTACTCCTGCTTTTATTTCAGTAGGAGAGGAAAAGGAAGAACCTACAAGTACGGAAAAGAACCGATCTTCGAGATAGGATTTGAGGATCAGATAGTAGTGGCTAGGAAGGAGAAGTTTTAATTTATAGAGGAGGCCTGAGTGCCAGACTCTATCAAAAGCTTGGGAGACGTCAAGGAAAGCACCAGTGCAATATTTACCTCAATAATCAACCACTTCCTCCTGCCCAGTGTATACGTTACCTTGGTATCCTTATTGACCTCCGTCTCATCTGGAAACCTCACATAATCAGCAAAACCCGTACACTTAATGATTGCTTCCGACTCCTTCGACCACTTCTAACATCTATGCACATGAAACTCTCCAATAAGCTCCTGCTTTACAAACTCCTACTCAGACCTATCTGGACTCATGGGATTCAACTATGGGGTTCTTCCAAAATTTTTAACATCAACCGCATTCAAAGATTCCAATAAAAAACTCTACGTACAATTCTAAAAGCGCCATTCTATGTCCCTAACCACATCCTTCACTCTGATCTTAAAATACCATTTATCTCTGAACTAGCCAAAACTCACTACAAACGTTTCAATAGCCGCCTATCCCACCATAAGAATCCCTTAAACTCTGATCTATCATCCGCTTCTATCCCAGGTAACCCAATTAAAAGACTTAAAAGACAGTGGTATCGCGACCGGCTAGCCTAACTATAAAGTCCTACTCATGTCGTAGTACCTCCTCTGGGAGGCATCTACGGTCTGTCTAATCTGCCTTTTATTTTTATTTTTATTTATTTTAACCTATAAACCATCAATATTGTTCTTATTGTTCTTTTTTTTTTGTATAACAGATTGAATAAAAAACATATGAACCAAAAAAAAAAAATAATGACGACGCCGAGGGTGACAGCGTTTACTGCCCCGACATCATCGGAAGACCAAACCATTGTGGACAATAAGCTGTTTAAATCTATATGTTTACATCAAATACTGGATCCAACCAACGGCGGTAACCGATTTTGCAGGTTCGTGTTAATAGCGTTCATGTCTGTGTCGTTTAGCGTGCAGATCATGCAGTTAGTTGGCCTTTACTTCGCTGTCAACGACCTGCAGCGGTTCGCATTCACTACCACGACGCTGTCTCATGCCTTTTTGTGCATGACCAAGGATTATGTATTGCTGACGCACTCGGACAAGCTGCGCGACACCCTGGAAGTGGCCAGGTATGAGTTCACGTCGTGCGGCGCCCGGGATCAGCGTGTGGTGCGCCGGTCGCGGGCAGTGTTGTCTATGGTTCTCCGCTCGTTCGCCGTGTTTAGTTGGTTCACTTGTGTCATCTGGACGCTGACGCCGCTGTTCGCGATGGACGAATACCTTCAGGTGACAAATGTCGATGATACCGTATCCCGTTACCGGGTTACCATCTTCAACATGTGGTTACCGGTGCCGGTAGACGTATACAATGCGATGCCCATTTGGTCACTCATCTACATGGTCGAGGTGATAGCATGTTTATTTACATCATTTAGTTGGTTGTTGTTCGACAGCTACGTGGTGACAATGTGTGTCACGTTCAACGCTCAGTTACGCACTGTGTCGGCTAGTTGTGCGACAATTGGCCACCGTGACTGCTTCGCATCGTTGTCACCTAACGCCACGGGTTCGTACCCGGTTAATTGTTACTATGTATTATTATTAGTACTTAAGGATGGATTACTGACTTTGAGAAATACAAATTATCAAGCCTGGGCAGTTAAAAATTAAGTTAATTTTAACTTTTTAACATAACTTTTTTAAATTTAATTTGTAACTTAACTGATTTTCATTGATATAAACTTAATAATTTATTAATAACTATAGTTACTTTTAATCAATACCAAGTTTCATTAATATATTGTACAAACATTTACTTTTTACTATTTCAAACCATATATATATTATACTGACTAGGTATTTATAAATTAAAAACTAAAACTAAAAATATCGAAAATTTATAATGTCCGCGAACAACAAGTCAAAATATTTTGAATATTTTATCAAAAATATAGAATATGATATAATAAATATTTGGTGTAAATTTCAAGTATTCGTTTTTGAAATTACAACCAAGTAAGAAAATCGCTCCATAGGAAATCGAGTGAATACCCAATGTTATAAAAATTTGAACTTTAAACACTCATAAAAATGTAATTTAATATTCAGGTATACATTTTTTTTTTTTCTGATAAATGAGACAAACTTATAAGGAGTCTGGTATTAAATTTTAAAATCTTAGATATAAAAACAACAATTTTTATGAATTTCTAATTGTTTTAATTTATTTTTTATCCCTCAGTGGATAATAAACATTATAAGGTACATTTTACTGTTTGGAGAGCTCTTAATATTTCATATTAATTAATATATATTAAAAGTAATGATTTCGGTATACAATATTTATTGTTTAATATATTTTTTATTGCTTAATAATTTTAAATCTGTGTCAATCATCTCTTTAATATGCAGAACTTCAATGTCACGAATAATGTGTTGCCAAATGTATGCAGACAATTACATGTTGTCTTAGATGAACTAATTGCGACGGGTTTGTGGGCTGACCAATTGATCAAAGCACTGTTACGATATAGCTTAGAATATTAAAAACGTCATTAAAAAGTAGTTATAAATTAATATTAATATACTAATTTTTTTCGATACGATTTAAAAAATAGTTATCGCTAGTTCATAAGTTTATTTGTCACAAGCTAAAATGTATGTGAAATAGCAATCCAACAGGCCACAGCTACACAAATTAGTCATAAAGTTTTGTTTGGCTCACATTATTTATTGTTAACGGTTCTAGGTACTCATAACATAAAAATTGATGATAGTAATTTACTGAACTGTTATGATGAACTGATCAACCACATAAAAGATAATCAAAATATAATAAAGTGAGTGCAAAATAATGTATCCTTTAAATTTCACACAAGTATAATTATAATTTAACTAAAATGCTGTAATCAAAAATGTAGTAGTTACTTAAAATGTGGCGGATCACGTATGAGTGACACCGCTACAATGTATATGTATCTAATTTAGATATTGCTTCGAAATATATTTTACTACAACACATAGAGATTTTTAACATTTGACGAATGTATTATTCTCGTCATAAGAAGTAAAGACTAATAACTTGTTTTTTATTTTTGAACCGTATATATAGGAAGTATGATGATTTTTTTGAAATTATTCAACCTGTCGTCTTATTCCAAATAATCGCTGGTTCGTATTCTGTAATAACATTAATATTTCTCACTGCGCTGGTAAGAGTATTATTTTTTACCATAAATATGTTTTATAAACAAATTGTATAATCTAATTTTTATTTTTATTTTATCAAGGCGTATCTTATGGGTTGGTCCATTATATCTGGAACAGTTTTAAAAGTATTTTTTGGTTTTTTGTCACTTACTTTTGAACTCTTCTTGTATTGTTATGTATTTAACCACATAGAAACTGAGGTAAGCAAACAAAAAATAAATGACAAACTCGTTTTGTTTGAAAAATATCTGATTGAAATGTTGACAATTTTTATTGATAGAAATGTAAGATGAATTTTGGATTGTATAGTAGTAATTGGACTGCAATGGATTTAAAATTTAAAAAGACATTGCTGTTTGCTATGAACATGAATTCAGCTCACAGGCGAGTGATGAAAGTGACACCAACGTCCATCTTAAATCTCGAAATGTTCGCCAATGTAAGCACTTCAAATATTATCTGATTACTATTTTTTTCAATATAATCGTAATTCTTAACTTTATAAGTATTTTATACAATAGGTATGTTTATTTTTGCTGAACCTTCACTGTACACACAGTTAATCATGAACATTATATTACAAATTTAATAAAAGTTATAATAAATCGTAAACTGGTGATTTTCAGGTGATGAACATGGCATACTCGATAGTATCTGTACTATTAAATTCAAGAGGCCAGAAATGAATTGTACTAACTACTAATTTATGAATTCAACTTATGACAGCGAGTAAAATATTAGATAATATTAAATGACTTATATACATAGTACTAAAATTGTGAAATTGACGTCTTGTAGGTATTGTATTTAGGGTGTCGGAGCCGTGAATTTAATAAAAAAAAACTCGGCTTACAGAAAAAACTATCACGCTGTGTAAAGTGGGTAGTCGGATTTGGTTATTTTTTTTTTACTTTAAAGAAGGGAACATTTTAAATAATAAATTAGCTTGACATTTTATTTTAATTTTATTTTATAATACATCACGGGCTTTCGCCCAATTTACAATATTACAATTTAGTACAATAAATAGTTTATACATAGAAAAATAAAAAATTATTTAATGAGAAGGAAGGGTCTAAATTAGCTAAATACATGCAGCGACGTAGTGGTTCATTTTGACCATAGTTAGTTGAAGAGGTGGCAAGTGAAAAAGGAACAGGATGGCGAGAGGTTCGGACTGGAACGTTAAAAAAGACTTGGATAGTAAGTACGGTAAGTCAATTTTCTCCTGCAATAATTTGGCCAAAAGGTGAGATTTGCTGCTTGCCTAAGGTTTGCTAAAGTGGTCTAGCTTAAGGAATTTTAGGACTGGCTTATAGTCGTGGTTGGGACACTCAATTTTTAAAGTGTTTCCAACGTAGTTCAAAAATTTTCATTGAACTCTTTCGAGCATGACTGAATTACAAGCCGTTTGAGGGTCGCAGATGACCGAGCCATATTCTAAGATTGGCCTAACAAGCGAGCAGTAAAGCGCTTTTAAAGGGGATACTAATTTGATTTCGGTAGCTACCCGTTTGACAAAACCGAGGGTTTTGAGAGGTTTGCAGCAGACCTGTTCTATATGCAAGCTAGGATTTAGCTTGGGATCAAAGACAAAACCTAAATCATTAACAGATTTGTTGAGTGGAACCAAAGAATAACCACTTACAATGTAGTTAAATCTAATAGGAGAACTCTTACGTGTAAAGATCATTGAATGGCATTTAGAAGTATTAAACTGCAGACCTAACTTAGTAGCCCAGGAAACTAAATTATTCAAGATTATAGAAAACAATTATTATCATAGTATCGTAATCTGAAATGTAAACATTTATAAATAAATTATTGACGTCTATAAACAATTTAAATTGATACAAATACTTATTTTTGATGACCTAATTTAATATGATTTAATCATCGCGGAGTAAATAAAAAAAGGTGGTCAAGTGGGTACCACTCTGCTGTTCAGTAGTTGTCGAGCATGTCGTTGTAATGGATGTGTTATATTTGAATTCAATGATAACTCATTCTATACGAAAAACGATTTTGAGCGGAGACGATGTGTCAGGCAGCATACTTGTATAAATAATCAAATTTACAGGTTAATAAAAAAAATATAAAATCAAAAATATCTCATGGCTATTAATAACGTGAATTTCTGGTAAACTTTTTTTTATTATTATTATAGGGAGAAAAACTTATATGAAATCTTCTATTGACATTTTTAATATTAGCTACCTACGGAATGAAAAAATTATGTGGATTTCAAACTCAAAAATAATTTATAACATTTTAAAAATGTATTATAAATACATTAAAAAAAACAATATTTTTTGAAAATATTATCTTGTATGAAAAATGTTCATTTTAACATTTAGTAAAACGAATAGTAGGATCAGACAGTCTGATGCTTCTCAACAGTGGACAACCAACCCCTCAACAACCTAACCCCTCAAACGGTTGCCGATCTTCCATAAACTTGTCCATCGCAAATTTACCCTTCTTCCGAAAATTGGAATGGTGTTCCCTACCAAACACATACAATAGTAGCGACCACATACCTATTAAAATATCCATCAATCTCCCACTTTATGTCACACTTCTGGTAAATTAAGAAAGCCAATTGGAATCCCTTCTCCTCCCTAATACAAAAAAAAACTTCAAGCCTCCCTACACCTTCACCAGATAATGTGAAATCCGACGTAGGGGATTTCACTGACATGATTACAGAAACCACCAAAATCAGTATAGGAATTACCAAGAGCAGCTCCCCAAGACCACGTGTTCCCTGGTGGAAAATAAATCAAAAAATCCATTCAAAACAAAAATAAGGCTTTCAAAAAATTCCATACCATCCTCTGACAAGTAAACTTCATTAGTTTAAAAAGAGCTAGAACTCAAACCAGATATCTGGTAATGAGTAGCAAATCACTATCGTGAAAAGAATGTGTGTTCTGTATAAATAACCAAACCTATACATCAATTGTATGGAAAAAAATCAAATTCATCAACGGAACCAACTGGAACAACATTCACTTACTAATCCTCACAACCGTACCCAAATAAGTAACCATTATATGCGTGCGCAGACTCCAGTTTTAGGGACAGCAAGAGATTAATCGGGCCTATTCTCCAAATAAACGTCCCGCAGTTTTACTTTTTTTACAATAGAGGATTAAAATTAAAATAGTATTACTTTTTTACTATAAATGGTAATATATAATAACTAGCTGTGTCCCGCAAGCTCCACCCCGTGGATAGTTGTTTGGAAATTATGCAGCTCCACAAATACAAATAACCTTTACAGGACTGATTATCAGGTAGGCAATCTACCTGCGGTAGATCGCTGGGGTGGTTTACATGTCTTCGAATGTCATGTGTTCGAAGGTCATGTTTTCGAATGACGAATGTTAGAAAAGTTATTTGTCCGAATAGTAATGTAATCGAAAAATTATTTGTTCGAAAAATATATGTTCGAAAAGTTGTATGTACAATGTACGAAATATTATTATTTTATTTTTAAACGTAAATTGTTACAACGTATCCGATTAATATCGTTGAATAAAAGTAATAAAGATAGTAGATAGTAGATAACATACAACTTAGTACTTAGTACTTTAGTATAAAATTAAAAATATTTAAATATATATTTGAGTAGGTAGTATATGTAGTTTCTATCCAAGTTTTTTCAGTTACAGGGAGATTTAAAATCGTTTATCCACAACTTTTGCACTTGAGCAATCAGTTTTGTGGGGTCTTTCTATCCAAGTTTTTATTAGTTACAGGGAGATTTAAAATCGTTTATCCACAACTTTTCCCCTTGTGGTGTCAGTGACGACCCCGGGAAAAATTTTACTAAAAAAAGATATTTTACTGAATTACACATCAATGATTATTATTATGTGTTCTTTTATTATTATTATTATTTTTTTTTTCTACAAATATATTTACTTTTTTTTTCGTTTTTTATTTTTCATTATTTCAACTTAAATGTACAAATATTAATTAATTAACTTGTAGACTCATGGCCTAGTGGACTAAGGCGTTGGATTTAGAGTTTGATAAATTTGAATTTAGGGTAAGTAAGTATGTTAATGCTACATCCAGTGTCATAGTCAACTAGGACATGAGTCTACATTTTTTGTTTTTTTTTTTCATAAACTTAAATTTCATAATTAAGTGCGTTTGCATTTTGAAGTAATTAGATTTTGTAATAACTGATTGTAGTATATTATAATAATACAATATAACTTAATCTGTTTTTTTTTTTTCATATTCAGTTACTAATGATGCGCCTATCACTCAAGTCGTGTCTCATTTTTCTTTATTTTCTCAAAGTTTTATTGCAGTGCATAAGTTATTTAATTTCTTCAAAAATGAATTTTCAAAAATGTCCAAATGATTTTGAATCATTAGTTTATCGTATACGAAGTAATCCGACTATGGTTCATCCAGCATTTTCTTCGTTTTCATCAAGATTTAAAACATTCAAATTATTCCCGTCAAATACTTGTCAAAATAAATATACATTGTCCGAATGTGGCTTAAAATATTCAGGAGTCGATGATGTCGTGGAATGCTTTTGTTGTGGTCTTATTCTTTATAATTGGGAAAGGCTTGACGACCCGTGGATTGAACATTGCAGATTCAGTCCAAGATGTTTATATGTGTTATTAATGAAGGGTAATCAGTATGTTCAAAACATATTAAGTAAATATTGTAAAACCGAACATATTTGTAAATTGCAAAACTGAGTTATACAATATCGTTTATTAATCATGTTTTTATTATACATTATAGTAAATTAAAATAAATATTCATTTTTTTAAAACAACTTATATGTGTTAATATTTGATTTAATATCTCGTGATCGTATAGCAAGTATATTCGAATAGATTCATAATATGTCAACGACATTGCAGCCACCGAATAATCGGATCAGCATCGAGTAAAGGCGTTGTCGGATCATTGTAGCGGTACACGAGATGGGCAGCTCATGAATGATACACCCGTAAGCATATAAGCATTCCATATATGAGCTCGGCACCTGTATAAAAATCATCCTCTACGATTGGTTGATTTGAAAATGCCGCGAAATATTTTTTGTTATCACTAATCAGTATTATTATTATTGAAATTATTACCTATTAATTAAATAAATATAATTCCAAAACCTTCAAAGTTTAGTTTCCAATATATTATGTTAAATATTACAATAAGTACTACTATTTATTCTGTTTACCTATCAATTATTTGAGGTATACATTAATTTAAATTGTACATAGTGTAGGTACCTAGATGATTAATAATAGGAACATTCTAATATTCAATTCATTCAAAAATTAATTTAATATGATATTTTTCAAAATAAATTTTTAATTGAACTTATTTGAACAACATTAAAGTCTTACTGTAAAAAAACTTTTATTTTTATTTACTAAAATACTTTTAAATGTAACTTGATTTTTAAATTAAAAATATTTTAACTTCAAATATAATATTATTCAGATGTTCATTATTATTATTTATTTAAATTATTATTATTCATAATACACAATAATACTATAATACATAATATTATTATGGCTGGGATTTCAGTACCTCAATAGAGAAGTTACCTACTAGTTTCATATAATATATATATACCTAATAATCTTGATCTAAGAGCTAAGATAGTATTAGATCATTATACGATAGGTACCTATGGTTAAAATTAAATAAATATAATACCAAAAAACCTTCAAAGTTTGGTTTCCAAAATATTATGTTCAATATTACAATAAGTACCTATTTATTCTGTTTACCTAACAATTATTTAAGGTATACATCTAATATAATACCTATACATTACCTAATTTAAATTGTATATAGTGTAGGTACCTTAAATGTAACTTGATTTTTAAATTAAATTTTTAACTTCAAATATAATATTATTTAGATGTTCAATGTGATTAGTTTTAATTTTTGATACAATGGTAGGTACCTACCTAATAATTTATTATTGATTAGTTAAAATGATTAATGAATACCTATACTCAGTACCCTGATAAACAAATCTTTTTTTTTTTGTATCCTTGGTTGTCGGGTGAAGCAAATTCAAGTTTTAATTGACAACCACAATAACTTTACTGTGGTTATACCTGCAAATAATTTGTTATATTATAAGTATAGGCATTGTATGGGCATATATTTAATAACATAAGTATTCATGGATTTAGGTTCTACTTAACCAACATTTTGTGAATTTAATCATAATAATATTTTAGGATTCTTATAAAATAATTAAATACTGTTTTATTTAGAATTGAATAAAATTAACTGTGAATTAATTAACAATTTTGTCTTACTAAATGAAATAAAAATGTCGTGATTACCTTCCTTTTCTGTTATTTTATAAAAAAATATTTGTTACATTTTAACAAACAATTACAGTATATGATTTAAAACTATTTTATTAATACATTTGTTTATTATTTATAATATTTATATACAGTTAGTGATTACTTCCATGCGATTTTGAATTTGGAACATTTTTGTTTACATTTTGTTGCAAGTTTCTATTTCTCTTTAATACTTTTTTTTTCATTTCTTTTTTTGGTCGTCCAACTGGCAATCGTTTACTTCCCCTCGTTATACCTGGTCTTCTTCTGCTAATTGTAGTTGGCTGAACAGTTATTGTACCTCGGCTCCTATGTCTCAATGAAATTGAACTTCCAGCTGTTGCAATAAAAGATTCCCATGCTGTTAAAGATTTTACATTTTTTAACCTCTGGACACATTTGGAAAGAACATGTATCGATGGAGATGGGAATTTTTTAAAATTATCTGTCATTAGGCTTACTATTTGTTCTTTATATTCTTCCGTTAATGTTTCATTTTCAATTACCTCAGTTTCTTTGTATTTTATCTGATTTTCAATAATATTTCTCTCTACATCAACATCAAGCAAATCACAGTGCATACTATTGTTTGTATTAATTGTATTAGACTCTTGAATCAGATTATGACTTTCTGTCGGACTAGGAATTAAAGGCATATAAAATTCATTTGTTTGTGCTTCATTACCAAAAGCTAATTTAGCTAGCAAACATCGTGTTTCATGACATATAGGTGGTAAGCTTGGCATTTTATGGTGGTATAAATTGTAAACAGCAGCTTGATGTTTACAAAATGAACCATATTTTCCCACAGGACATGAACAGTATCCAACAGTCACATTGACTTCATAAAACTCAGGAGAATTTTTTTGTTGTACTTTGTATAAATCATCATCCATAGCCTCTATCCAATCTTTAGTTATATGTGCTGCACGGTTTAACTGGTCCTGAAACAGCAGTCTTGATTTATCAGATCTTCCATTGACAAAGTTTCTTAAGCGTGTTGTATAATACTCTTCCATACTTGTACAAATAAAATCGACAAGAGCTATAGCGTTGTATGCCTTGTTACGTGATAGCACAATATCTTTGAAAATTCTAACATTTACTTCACTGAAGTTATTTGTATGGTGTCCATGCATTGATGCATCTCTGAATGCAAGACACCAAATTTCTTTTCGCTTCCAATAATTGGTAACATATGATATCCATTGTGGGTATTTATTAAATACTGTTTTTTCATCATTAGAACATATTCCTGCCATAATTTTAAATGATTTTTCAGCTTCTTCTATATCTGATGATACTAAACAATTTTGAAATGCTTTGTATAATGCTTTTCTATCATCCTTTAAAATGTCATGTTTTTTTTCAAAAAGCCAACGCCATACCGATTGACAAATATGAAAACGACATAGAAGCGATTTTGATGATGGCCAAACATGCTTAAGAGCTTGTCTTTCAGCTTCACTATCGTCGGTCATAAACTGTTTGGGATATCCTTGGGAAGAAAATGCGAATGGTACAGACTCTTTCAATAGTGTAAAGGCAGCAATGTAATCTTCAGTTGACTGTCCTTTAGTGATCATAAGAGCTAATGGTACAGCTCCTATCCCACAAGCCGTAAGCATAATTGTTACAGAATGCCCATTGGCATCACAGGATGCAGTACTATCCACAAAAGCAATATCCTTAGCAAATGGCAATCCGTGAGCACGTTGCATTATCGGAGTAATTACTACTATAGCAAATGGGTATTGTTTATACCTTACAATAATACCATTTTTTTGTATATTCTAATATTTTTTCTTCCAATTTCTGAAAAAAGAATATTTGTCTATTGGTAATTAATATTAGTATTCAATTGGTTTGTAAGCTTCAAATTAATACTACAAATAAGCTGTTAATGGTTAGGCACAATAATTTATTAGTAGGCACTAGGCATGCAATCTAATTTGTGTAGCATAATTAAGTGCACATATTTTTACATTATTCTACTTCAAATATTTATACTTGCATAGGTACTCATTACTTAATTAGTAAAAATGTGTTTTTAGGAGGTACCTATTTTATATCATATTAATATCTTATATTTATATATTTTTTGAAAAATCTTTTACTTTAAATTCAAATTAACTTATTTGTTAAAGTAACATACCATACAATTTTATTTTAGGATAGTAGGTACTACTTAATAACATTTTTAGCCTAAACGATTACAAATAAGTATTTTAGATGATTTGGAAATGTATTTTAATATAATATTTTATATTATGACAATGTAAGCATTTCATATTTCATTACATTAACAATTGTATTTATATTTATAAATAAAAATGGGTTCCTATATTGAGTTTTTATTTTTTTAAGTTCATAAAAAGTACCATAAAAAATATTATATATCAATGTTGGTATTATATATATTTAAAAAAATCTACATTTACTTTGACAAACACAAAACTACAAAACCACTGTTGATATTGTAATTTGTGTAAAATACAAAACATATAAAATATATTATATCAGGATTCAAAAACAATTTGTATAACAGATAATTAGATTTGACGATGAGTCATGAGCGTTAAGTTTAAATGCTACACTGGAAAAAAGTAACAATAAAACATTTAAGATAAAATATGCTTGGTGAATCATCCTGTATATAAATATTATATTTCATTCTAAATATTATATTATTATATACCTATGAAACTGTTATTTTTATTTTATTGTATAGCTAGGTACCTACTATATTATTTAATTACCTACTAATAGAATATTTTAAATGTATTATTTATTAAATTTATATTTCTTGTGAACTCAAAATCACCTTACAAACTATAAAATGATGTGTTACCATAGTTAATTTCATTTTGTTTGATATGTTTTGATATGTTATGTTATAGGTATTTGGTTAAAAAAAATAAACAATTGTTAATATTATTTAACTTATCAGTTACTTAAGAATTTAAAAATTTAAAAATATGATGCATTTTTAATATATTTTTCTCTTTACCTACCCAATGATTTTTAATGTAAATAGTAATATGAGTTTTGTTATAACTTATACGATAAGCATTAGTCAATCCTTCCCAATTCCTTAGCTAGGTATGCCCATTAAATATTGATTATAAATTAATGTTAAGTATATGATAATCATCAATTAGATACCTATACATTAGTTTATTAGGTATGTGGCAAAACTACATATAATAAACATCACTTATGTAGGTAATATAATAGTGATAACAATAATAATATTTATTTACTCGGCTAAATAAATTAATAGTAAATAAACGTGTTATTCCATATACTCACCTGAAATACCCCATCGCCATTCTGTGGCCCAAGGTGTATTTTTTTCCATTCGTCATACCAATATCTTACTGTTCTGTATTTTGGATTTACATGAGCATTAGCCAACTCTGTTGAATTTATACCATATTTCAGCTCTACTTTTTCTTCGTGAATCTTTATAGATTCACTAATCCCTATTAAAATCCATTTATTGTATTCTACAATTTCTCACATAGGTGTATACAAGTATGAGATATAATCACCCCATTGTAAAATAATTATTTCACTTTGTACTTGTAATAAATAATAATACCTATCTAAAGTACATAATATAGGTATTATTTAGTTTTTAAATTTCAGGTACTTACCAAGACCACTAGTAAAGTATCCATTAAACATACAACGGATATCATCAGTAGGCCTCAAAAATGACAATGCCTCACCTGATGTCAATGTGTGGTTATGGGCATTAGTAAATGTTATTATTGCTGGTAAACCATCCTTAAAAATAATTAGTAGATGAAAATTATAACATAATATACATCTACACTTATAATATAATTTATCTATATTATAATCCTCAATCAATAAATACAACATTTAATATAAATTTGTTATTAAATAACTTATAAAATAGATACCTTTACATATGGATCTTTTTTACAAGTATCTTTAGTTGTGAGTTTAATTGTGATATCAATTTTTGCCAGACAATTAGTATTTTTTGACTTTCCTTTTACATTTTCTTTAATATTTTTTTTTTGGAATGCACTATGATGACATACAAATACTTTTCTACATAGAAATAAATACGTAATAATTATATTATTCAGTAAAATACCTTTAGAATTATTATATCTTAATATTAAATAAATACATAACATTTTTTATGAATAGGTATAAAATTAAATTTGTTACCAACCGACAAACATATCTAGTGGACTGTTTTGAACTAAAAATGCACCAACTTGTTTTTGTTTGGATACTGTGTAATTGTATATATGAATTAATATCATTCTCATTAAGCAAATTAGCTCGAAACACATTAGGCTCAACTTCATTAACTTGGAACATTTTAAAGTTTTTAAGTTAGCTACGTATAAACCATTAAACCAATAATTAGATAAGTCATTATAAGGTGATGCCGTGATGGATGTTATATTCTATTTTTATATTGATAATATAATTTTACCAAATTGATAGTAAAATAATTGATAACATAAATGTATATAATATATAAATATAACAGTATTTAATTATTTTAAAAGAATCCTAAAATATTATTATGATTAAATTCACAAAATGTTGGTTAAGTAGAACCTAAATCCATGAATACTTATGTTATTAAATATATGCCCATACAATGCCTATACTTATAATATAACAAATTATTTGCAGGTATAACCACAGTAAAGTTATTGTGGTTGTCAATTAAAACTTGAATTTGATTTACCCGACAACCAAGGATACAAAAAAAAAAAGATTTGTTTATCAGAGTACTGAGTAGGTATTCGTTAATCATTTTAACTAATCAATAAAATATTATTAGGTAGGTACCTACCATTGTATCAAAAAATAAAATTAATCACAATGAACATCTAAATGATATTATATTTGAAGTTAAAAATTTTTAATTTAAAAATCAAGTTACATTTAAAAGTATTTTAGTAAATAAAAATAAAAGTTTTTTTACAGTAGGACCTAAATGTAATTTATTTTGAAAAATATCATATTAAATTAATTGTTGAATGAATTGAATATTTGAATGTTCATATTATTAATCATCTAGGTAGGTACATACACTATATACAATTTAAATTAATGTATAGCGGTATTATATTAATTGTATACCTTAAATAATTGATAGGTAAACAGAATAAATAGGTACTTATTGTAATATTGAACATAATATTTTGGAAACCAAACTTTGAAGGTTTTTTGGTATTATATTTATTTAATTTTAACCATAGGTACCTATCGTATATGATCTAATACTATCTTAGCTCTTAGATCAAGATTATTAAGTATATATATATTATATGAAACTAGTAGGTAACTTCTCTATTGAGGTACTGAAATCCCAGCCATAATAATATTATGTATTATAGTATTATTGTGTATTATGAATAATAATAATTTAAATAAATAATAATAATGAACATCTGAATAATATTATATTTGAAGTTAAAATATTTTTAATTTAAAAATCAAGTTACATTTAAAAGTATTTTAGTAAATAAAAATAAAAGTTTTTTTACAGTAAGACTTTAATGTTGTTCAAATAAGTTCAATTAAAAATTTATTTTGAAAAATATCATATTAAATTAATTTTTGAATGAATTGAATATTAGAATGTTCCTATTATTAATCATCTAGGTACCTACACTATGTACAATTTAAATTAATGTATACCTCAAATAATTGATAGGTAAACAGAATAAATAGTAGTACTTATTGTAATATTTAACATAATATATTGGAAACTAAACTTTGAAGGTTTTGGAATTATATTTATTTAATTAATAGGTAATAATTTCAATAATAATAATACTGATTAGTGATAACAAAAAATATTTCGCGGCATTTTCAAATCAACCAATCGTAGAGGATGATTTTTATACAGGTGCCGAGCTCATATATGGAATGCTTATATGCACGGTCTTAGAATATAAGGTCAGGAAAGTTTGGATAGGAACACACGCTTTTATCACGGAAAGAAATTGGAACGGGCGCAGTGCTGCGCTCTATTGGTAAAATAACTCCTGTAGTTTATACAAATTTGAAACTAAACTATTTATATTATTTATATATATTTATTGTAATTTATATTATATTCTAAAAAAAAAACCCGTGTTCTATACAAAATATAACTATACTTTAATAAGTACTTATAGTAAGGAACACTGGTGCACCAAATATTGCAAATTCAAAATGCCAAAAGTATGTTTTGTTTGCAAAAAAAACAAGGAAGGTATTGCAAGTTTTGAAGTAACTAAACAAAGACTTGCAAGCTGGAGTAAATATATTGATGGGTTAAATGTAGGTCACAGAATTTGTGAAAACCATTTTTCCCCAAATTATATTATAAAAAAAAAAATTGTGAAGGACGGCTTAGGAAACATCATTGCAGAAGTAAGATTACCTATTTAAAATTAGACTAATTACTCAATGATTATTAATACAGTATTAATTTTAATTAATTATTAATTATACTTCTAGCAAAAGTATAAAAATGCTATTCTTCTTCAGGGTGCCATCCCCAGCATTAAATGTGAAAATATTATACAAGAACTTGACACTAATGATGATTTAGCTATTCCCCTAGACAAGTCTGAAATGGTAAATCATTATAATATTTAAATTAGCTACTAGGTTAAGTATAAACATTTTACAGTCAAAGAAAATAGATTGATCCTTTAATTCTTAATTAAGGCCTTGTATTCTTGATTATTTTTAAATTTCAGAAACACATTTATACAAACAAAAGGTCAACAGCTTCAACATATGTGTTACCCGTACACAATGAGACAAAAAGAATTTGTTTGGATTCTAATAATATTGATGCACATAAAGTATCAGATAATTTCAATAAAATATTGAATGATATGAACAGTATTATAGTTCCATTTAATTGGTCCAGGATTCTCCCTGCTAACAAAAAAATGGTCATATTTAGCAAAGTATTTGTAAATAAAGACGTAGAACTACCTTATTTTGAAAGATGTGTTAGTGTACACGAAGATATGACAATTGAATGCAGGTATTTAAATAAAATTATAAATAATTATTCAATTTTGAATCAGTCAAATATGAGAGAACTAAATAATATTCAAAATCTGATTTATAATTTTGATTTGGCTAACATGTGTAGTGGTGTAAAAATACCTGAAGAAGACAGAAAGTACTTAACAAAGACAACTTACAAAGATACATCGGATAGTTTCAGACACATTAATTGCTCATTAATTTTAAATACAACAGTATCAAATCCAATTGATCTTAAGGCAATAAACAAAAATAAAAAACCAGAAAATTGTAAATTTTGTAAAAAAATATTGAATTTGATAAAAGAAAAAAAATCTAGATCACCAAGGTTAAAACGAATACACATCCAAGTTACTCCTAGCAAAAAGTTAAAATTAAAAGCCCTTCGTAACCGCAATAAACTTAATACAGAGTCAAAAAAAAGAATTCAAAACAAATTATCTAAAATACTCATTGAATTTAAGGAATTGAAAATTAAATTTAGAAGTTTAGAACATGATACAATAGTTGAAAAATTAATTAAAAACAACACTCCTCCAAATCACTTGTTGTTAATAAAAGAAATATTTGCTGCAGCAGAAAAAAAGGGCCCTAAAGGAAATAGGTATACTGAGGATTGGATAATGTTGTGTATGCTACTCCACATCAGGTCTCCATCTGGGTATTCATTTATGAGAGAAAATAAATTACTCCCCTTGCCATGTATCAGGTCCATTAGAAATTATCTGCAATTAATTAAAACATCTTGTGGTTTTGACGAACAATTTTTACAACTATTTGCAAAACACCTAGAAGGAAAAGAAGAATATCAAAAACATGGTTTACTAATTTTTGATGAAATATCCTTACGCCAGAGTATTTCTGTTAACACCAAGACTCTAACATATTCCGGACTGATTGATTTTGGGAGTGAAGATTTACCAAAGGCAAATGACTTGAGTGATAAAGCAACTCATGGCTTAGTGTTTATGTTTCAACCTTTGGCTGACTCATACACTCAGCCAATTGCTGTGTTTGCCTCAAAAGGTCCAGTAGCAGGTTTAACACTAACTCAGTTAATTATAAAAGCAGTAGTTTTATTGGAAAATGCTGGAGCAAAAGTGCATGGGTTAGTGTCTGATGGTGCCCAAACAAATAGGAAAGCGTGGAAAGAGTTAGGAATTCGTGGCCATCTGAATGACTGCCAAAGCCACGTAGAACACTTCGTTGACAGTAGTAGGAAATTTTTTGTATTTTCAGATACTCCACATCTGATTAAAAATGTTCGCAATCGTTTATACAATAACAAAGAATTATTGGTAATTTTAAATTTTAAATGTTTAAAAATATTATTAAACATTTTCATAACATCATACTTTTTATAATAGGTAAATCCAACTGAAGGTTTGGTGAAATGGAAACACTATGTTTTATTGCACGAACATGATAAAAATATATGTGACAGCCAACTAAGAGTGTGCCCCAAAATTTCAGACAATCATTTGAAATTATTGAATTCTTGTTTGAAAATGCGTGTCCGCCTAGCCACCCAAGTAATATTTTACAATAATCTACAAACTTTCGAGACATTTACACCATATCTATACTAACCTTTCTTTATATATCCAGGTATTCAGTAAGTCTATGGCTGATGGACTAAGATTCTATCAGAAGCATAAAGTTCCTGGGTTAGAACACTGTGATGCCACAATTAATTTCACTCTAATTATGAACAACATGTTTGATGCCTTAAACGCCAAACTTCCATGTGAAGGATTACGACATGGGTCAAAAAATTATGAAGTTAGCAATAAAAATAATTAAAAAATGAATGTGTGTATGTTGTAAATTTGTGATATTTGTTTAAATTACAAAATTATTAAAAATAGTATGTGAATAGTTTTATGTGTAGAACTGTAGAAGAGATTTTAGGATCTTTATACTTACACCCATTTTCTGGTAACAAACTTTATGTGGGCTTTTGTGACTTTATGTATTTAATTTGCATGCTTAAGTGTTTCTTTTGTCAGTGTTGTATTTCAATAGTTCGTTAAATCTAAGAGTGTCACCTGACGGTCAAGTTGACTTGGTATGAACAAAATTATATTGGCTAAACAATAACCTATAGTTATTAATTGTTTTTCTTTACAAAATGATTACTTATAGGTGTTGAAATACTCTTTAAAATGGCTGGATGATTGGGAGGCTCGGACTGGAGTTGATGTCACTGATAATCAATTCTTAACAAAAAGTACTTCTGAAGGTTTACGTGTAACACTGAACTCTTGTATTGAATTAACAGATTACTTAATAGACAAATTTGGATTTAAATATGTTCTATCTGGAAAAATAAACCAAGATGCACTTGAAGTACTTACAATACAGTGTAGACATTTTATAAATTTATACTAATATCTATTTACATTTTACAGAGATTTTTTGGTACAGTTCGAATGGCATCTGGGGCTAATGACCACCCTGCCACCCCTACCTTCCTTCAAGTATATAAATTACTTTCTGTATATTCTATTATAAAACCTCCAAAATATGGCAACTGTTCTATCAATATTATGGACCCTGGATCCAATCTAATACGTTTATCAGACATCACGAGTATATATCATAATGATAAAAAATCACCGACAGCCTTAGAAAACTTGAAAAACAAGCTAGATACATTAATTGACGATGGAACATGGGAATTCACTGACATCATTGAACATGATTACGCTCATGCACAAGTAATTGACTGCTTAAAATATTATATCACCGGTTACTTGTGTTTTCAAATTGGCAAAAAGACACAATGTGTTACATGCAAGCAAGCATTTGTCACACACTTGCCACCTACAAATAATGTTAATGCAGCAGAATTAACAAACTTAAAATCAAAAGGAAAACTTACTCACCCAAATATTATATTTTTTAAATTCATAAGTGCTGTAGAAGATTGCTTTATGAAAAATATTAAGAGCCCAGACGTCTATAATAAAACTGTAGATGATTTAATTGAACATTTTCAAAGATTTAATTTTCCATGTCCCAAACACAAATATGAGATTTTTGCCTATGCAATTAAGTATTACTTGAGTATGCGAATGAAACAATGGTCAAGAACAGTGAATCGGGAAATTGTTAAAACGAACACAAAGAAGAAAAAACTAGCAAAATTTTGTACAACATAGTTTTTAACAAAATATTAATAGGAATTATCACCAATTATGAAGCCATGAATCAGTGCACTATAAAAAGATAAATTATAATAATATAGGTACAATATTCTAATGTTATTAACTATATAATTAACATTTAACGTAAGTTAACATTAAACATTAAACTATAACGATTAAAATTTTAAAAATCGTATACCTATTTATTTACTTAAATGTTGACTACTTATATCATGACATCAAATATTGTGTAGTTTTATAAACCACTAGAGCGCAGCAGAGAGCCCGTTCCGGTTTGCTCCGTAATAAAAGCGTTTTTGTAAGTATGTATTTTCAGTTGAGTTGCACGGGCCTGCTTATATGCCACCCTAACGTGGAACTCCAAGGAGTCACTGGAACAATGCCATCTACGCGCTAGATCCGTTGTACCCGTAATCGATTACATCTGCAGAACGTAATTCCTGAGAATTTTTACGAATAATATGCAATCTATGAAGAATATTATAAAAGTTGAATGCACCAAATAGTACTCTCTCTTGTATTCAACAATATGTTATTGAATTTGAAACAGAAAAAATCAATTATCATTTAGTTTTGTGTGTGGTCAAATTGTCATTGCTGACCTGATACATGTTTGTGTGTTGTTACTAACTATATGTTTATAGATTTGAAAAAAAAAAAATATTAATTGATAAACAAAAATCATTGACTATATAAATACTTTTAACTTTCATTATGTGATCAAACTGATAACAACTGTCTACACATTGTTAAATATATTTAGCTTTTTTCTAGATTTGATTTTAGTAGTGTTTTGACAGTGTACTAGTGTAGTAGTCTTGACTATGTTGTATTTTATTTATTTATCTCCTCATCAAAGTAATAATAATTTAATTAAAATTAAATCATATATTACAATCGATAAAATCCAACCGATACGTCAACACTGTTGTACATTGAAGAAACTTAGAAGATCCACTAGAGTGAAATCTAAACCAAAATATTATCATCTTGAGTTAACTAATTAAATCAATACTGTAGGTACACTTCATCATGGAAGGTGTAATAGTCAAATCAATATTCAACATACATCAACAGAATAAAAAAAACATTTATATTGGATACCTTGTTGATCAGCCTTTATCTGTAATTATTTTATTCATGTGTAACGTAACTAAACGTTATCTAATACTAAATGTATTTCAATGGAATAAGTTTATATCTGATGATAGTTTTAATATAATTGTTCGTTCTTTATCCACTGTTCAACATTCAAAACGATTACATTTGGATAATAATTTTTATTATAAAATATGTCCAAAATCTGAATCAGTTAATTTATATCATAATAATAACAGAATCACATTATCCAGTGATAATTTAAATCGATTGAAATTATTGGAACCATGTATAAATGCAAATATCATAGAGTTAACAAATAAATTAGTGATGTATCAAACTGTTTTCAATAATGCATGTATAATTATCAAGTATGATATTTTATATTTATCACCTGATTGTATTAGAAGTGATTTTATCAGTACATATATTAAAGATTATAATTTCAAAATGGATGATCTGAAGGATGAAGAGATATCATTTTTACTTGATCTACAGCAAATACATCATGGAAAGTTTGCAGACATTGTATTAAAGCCTGACATAATCAATCAATAAAAACCAAATAATCATGATTTGATTTTATTACATTTTAATTACTCATTTTTATTTTACTAAAATTGTATGATGTTGTTATTATATTGTGTTATAATATTATATCTTTAATCATTAATATTGTTTTATTTTTTATTTTTTATTTTTTTGATATTTGTTGTAATCTGTTAATAAAATAGTTGTATATTTCATAATGATTCGTCTTTTTATTTCAAAAATATAATAATTAATGTATCATAGCTATTTGTTTATTAATTTGATTATACATAATAATATCATCATTTTTTTATATAACACAATTGCCAAATACATATAACTTTATTTAAGTGTGATACAATATGTAAATTAAAATAGAATAAATGTGTAGTCTTATTATTGATAAGATTCAATTTGTTTATCATCATTACACATAAATTTATCCATCATCAAATCTTGTAAGTTGTTGAATGCTGATATTAACCTAACCTAACCAATATACGTGGGATTTTCTATTTTGGATATTTCGAAAACATATATTTATAATTTCCATTATGATGTAATGAAAAATAAATATGGAAATAAAATATCACTATTATATACCGACACCGATTCATTAATATATCGTATTAAAACAAATAATTTTTTTGATGATTTAAAATTTGATTTATTGAATCATTTTGATACTTCTAATTTTCCAATTGATCACATTTGTTACAGTGATAAACGTAAATACACCCCGGGGTTGTTTAAAGATGAACTTCAAAGTAAGATTATGACCGAATTTGTAACACTAAGACCTAAATTATACGCTTATACGGTAAGTGGTATTGAATACAAAAAGGCAAAAGGTGTAAAAAAGTATGTTAGAGACAAGTATATGACAGTCAATCATTATTTAGATATTTTATCAAAGTTCAGTATACAAAATTCTAAACATACGGATACATTAAATGATAAACCTAGTAAAATTAATGCATACTGTGATATTAACTCGATACAGTCAACCAAACATAATGTATATTCAAAAACAATGAGAAAAATAGTATTGAGCGCAAATGATGATAAACGTGTTATATTAAAAGGTGGTATTTGTACACTACCATATGGTCATTATAAATTAAAATAATCAAGAATAATTATAGTTATATTTTATTACAATCTCATTTTATAATTATTAAATCATTCAATATTTTATATTTTGATTGCAAAATCAATATAAAAAATATAAAAACATATGATAATATTGTATTATTTGAATTAACCTGTAGTTTAAGATGACCTGTAGATTTATTTTATTGGATTTAAATTGATCATTTTATAAATTGTAAAAATTAAAAATTAGTGTTAATTAATTTGGTTACAAAGCTTTTGATAAAACTATGTATTCATTTTAATATTATATCATTATCATTAACCTTTGAGTATGATTAATTTCTGATTTATTATAATGTACCTATCTAATTATATTACGATAGACTTTGACCGATATTCATTATGATAAATAAATTGTAAAGTAATATGATTTGTGATACTGTAATTATTTAATAATTTTAAAATATATATACGTGTGTTTAATTATTTAAAATGTTTATAATTTATTGATTTATTATATATAATTCTTGTATTAATTGTTTTACTTGTATTGAATTATTTAAAAATGTTTAATTGTTAAATATTAATATACTATTATTGCTATCGTTATTCTATATTGTAAATTGTAAATTGTAAGTATAAACATTAAATAAAAATAAATAAATAAATAAATAATTAAATAATATATTATATGATAATGATACATTTTATATTTTATCATTTAATTTTGAAATTTAGTGTTGTACAATTATGTAGTTGTTTTTTTTTTTTTACCTGGTATAACTAAATCATTTGAATTGATATAGTACTTAACTAATTGTGTATCAGGTATATATTTTTTATATAAACCGAATGGTTATTATTCTGTCTTAGTAGTATACATTTTTATGATTACGGTGTAATGATTTTTCACAGTGATAATTACGCAGTGTTTAAGACGGAATGTCACTTCAGTGATCACAGATTTACTGTGTCACACATTACGAAGATTATACACTCGTACCTATTTATTCATCACACAAAAATATTTAGTGTAGGTATATACTTAATAATGTTTTGACTATAATGTAGCTTTTTTTTATCAAACCAAAATAAAAAACTGGAATAATATTTCATGAAAAGATTACAAATTATTAAATTAAAAATTGTTTTTTATTGATACAAATTAATTCTAAATTATAATTATACAAGTTTTCTTACTTCTCTAGTAAAAGGCACATATTCTACAATTCTATCATGAATTAATAAACAATAAGCAGTTACACCTGTAAGGGATTCTGATGCTTCAATTTCCAATTGAACATCTACTGCCGAGGCTGTGGCTGAATCGTTCTGTTTTGATGTATCGATAACTATAATCGGAGCGTTTGATAAGAAAGTAGAAGGGCTTAATAACGGGTTCCGTATACTTTTTTCATAGTAAGATTCTTGAAACGATGTATACATATCATATAATAGCGTGAAATTATTTTTTGAAAAATCTAAATTCAAATTATCGTATGGATAAGCTATAGAGTTCAGAAATACTTTAACGTTTGTTAAATTACAATGATCAAATATACTACAATCTTTTGTTAGCAAATTTTTGCGTCCTTTTTGTAATCCAATTATGATAAATCGTGGTTTTTCTAATTTTGAAGCAGTTTTCAAATTCCATACAACTTTTTTAGTGGTTCCGAGTTCAGGATATTCAAAAGTTTCAAAAGATCTAAAAGGGATAAATAGACTTTTTTCTTTTTCTATAAGTTTCAATAATTTTAACCTTTCTTCGTCGTCGACCGTTATATGTGGGACCTTCCAGACTATTTTATTTAAGGTGATTTTACCTTCAGTAGCAGTTGCACCACTTTTAACTTGTAAAGCATTTAAATCACTATGACTTCGGGTTAATATTAATTCCAATCTAGAATTCACTAATATTCTTTTATAGTCTTCAAACAATCCTAACCAATATTTCAATGGTATGCAAGCACTAAATTCACCTTTGTCATTTTCCGATTGCGTTGCGTTTTTAAAATTCCAGCCAGCATTTTCATAACAATTGTAGTTATCTGGCGTACCGGATAAGTAACCTTTCAACGAGCTAGTGATTCCAAGAACACGTGTGCCATCTACTTCTATCCCATTGATTTCCAATCGTATTTGTTCGAAGAGGTAAGAGTAACCGTTATTAGATAGTTTCACTTTGGTAGCATCAGTAATTGTTCCTTCCAAAAAAATAAAGCTTTCGTGTAGATATGGGTAGACATCCGTTTGCTGGATTGATATACGTATTTCATCATTATTATTAAATGATGTAGTATACGGTGTGTATGAATGATATTCAATTTTCGTAATTTTAGAATCCGTTTCGTACTGTGAAGTAATATCTAAAATATCACTCTCAGGCATTCTGCTTTAATTGATAACCCAGAGCTTGTAAAATTTTTTTATTTTTTACCGTTAATTTTTTAATCTTATTTGATGTTGCTGGTAGCACTTTAGTCTTATGACTAGTTGTGCTGATCCTAAGTAGCGGGTTTATATTGAATTTCAACCCCATCTCAAGACCCGTAACGTTTAATATGTAACACGATTGTCAATGCCTCACCAAAATTATCAATCGGATTATGATCTTGATCAACTAACTGAACGGTTATCGAATCAATATTTGTTTTATTCAATTTGTAATATATTAAATTTGGCGGTGCCTGAATTACTTTCGACCCTGTCTTTCCACTCGGGAAAAACTCATAAATCGAATGACTCTGAAGATGGTTGCTGAATGATCCTTGAGCTATATTACACATTACTTTTATAGAATTAATTGTGTTTAAATTTACAGCTTTTTCCGATCGAAGAATGTTGTATGGATTATATACTCGTTTTTCAAAACCGAATACAGGTGCTATACTATATGGATATTCAAAGTGTAGTATTCCATTACATTTTATATACGATCTGAAATCATCAGGATCAACCGTAATGTCGAATGTTAAATTGGTTAAGTTTTTACTATTATAGGCAACTATTTGCTTCTTAACTCGATCCTTAATATCTTCAATTTCATAACAACCCTCTTCCAATGTAATAAAACATATCATAGGATCATTATTGTTTTCATTATCAACTACTTGTATAGAAAATTTATTATTATTTTCATTAATATTTGGGAATGAATTAAATGACTGTAAACATAACAAAGCTATTTCTGAGTCATCGTAAAGGTTTATAGGCGGAAAATAATTTACAGATAATACAGTTGAATTTCCAGTCAAACTTAATGTAATAGATTCATGCATTGTAAAAATTCAAGACATAAATGACCACAGTTAAATGTATTGAAGTCTTGATAGTTGGAATAGTTATATACTATTTTGAACTGTCTGAAATAATGTTGTAATTCAATTGGTGGGGGTAAATCACCAAAGCTATCAAAATATACAACTTTTTCCTTATTTTTATAAAACGCTACCCAATGGGTTCCATCGCCTGAAGATATATCCAAGTTTAATATACCACATTCAATAGCGTGCGGTTTTTTAGGTAAGTTATCACGTGAAAAGACTCCACGGAAATGATTGATTTTCAACTTTCCAGCATATTTTATAATATCTTGAGACGAAAGCGGTCTGTCAGGTAGCGTGATCATCAGTTTTTTTTTCTTAACCTATTCTTGTTTGATTTCATACCACTACCTTTTTTTCTTTTTGAATTTTGAACCGCATTATACACACTAGCACCTCCAGACATCAAACTACCAAGTGCTGACAATCCTGCAAATATAGGTATTAAGGGAATTACACCTCCTGACTGTCTCGGTGCTAAAATCAGTCTTTTACCACCATTCTTTTTCTTTAAGATTCTTTTTTTCTTCGCTGCTAGTATACCATTTGTTTTTATAACACTTTTCCGTTTACAACCCATACCTATTTTTCTTTTAGCTTTCATTG